ACTTCATGATGACAGACTCGCGTCAGAACGTGCATGTCAGCCCAGACGTGATTGTCTTGGCTGCTCTTTCCCTCGCGCACGGCTTCCTCGTTGACCGACAGCGCTCCTCACGGCACTGGAGCATCAGGGAGAGCGACGGTGCTTTCACCGTGCAGGAGATCGAGGCCACGAGGAGGGCCATCCTGCAGGACATGGACTACGGCCTTGCTCGCATCTCCAACGACATGGTGCAGCGGAGGCTGAAGAACATGCAGCGACCCAGCACAGCGCCTGCACCCGCTTCAACCCCTATCACGACGGTGATGAAGCAACGACGGAACCTCTCCATCAGCCTCCAAGGCACTGCCATCTGGAGCTACGGCGTTCAGACCCCAGAGCCCAGCCCGTAGAGCGGCGGTCTCCCATGGACGAGCAACGAATTCCGTTCAGTCAACTCTTTTTAATCGTTTTGCTGCGTACATTCACGATACCCACATCCTTTTGGCATCTTTCGCGATGCGCATCTCTCGGCGTTCTTCGGCATGGATCAGGCTATCCTCTGTGTAGACAACAGGCTTGTTGTCACCACCTCGTATATATTTGTTTCAGGGTGGAGTTGAGTGGGTTCGGTGGCCTGATGCCAATGGTCTGTGTTTCATGTTTTGAGTAGGCTATTTGTGTAATACCAGCTAGGAGGTTGGAGGACTGAGCTTGTTTGATATTCATCCCTACCGACGTGGTATGTAAAGACGGATCTAATCTACATTGGCACTTCGTATCGAGCAGCTCGTGCACGTGATGCGGATTCGTCGCAATCGCGTGAGATGTTCATAAGATTATGCGAGAAGATTGTGTGCAGATATCACGACACTCTGATGCTTTTGTTCACAGTGATCAGGTCAACGTACGATGGTGGGGCTGCTCCATCAACATAGTCTTCCCTGTTCCGACAAGATCCGCGCCGGCTGCAGCTTGAATGTGCACATTTCCTTCATGTCTATCAATTTAAGAGCTTGAAGTTTGTGCTTGTTGCGCACTCCATCCTTCAATGTTGGTTGTTTTCGCTTCGCCAGCATGGTGTTGTTGGTATGGAGGGGTTGAAGACGTCACGTCGTCTGGTTCTGGCCATGCTGAAGATCACGCTTCGACGCGCAACAAACACACTAAAGGCTCAGCATGCACAAGTTTATTGGACAACACGTCCATCACGACCCCGCTAACCTGCTCCGCGACGGCATCGTGGGGTCGGCTACCCCACTTTGTACTGGCTCCGCGAGATGCTGCATACAGCTTGCATGTGGGAGAGCTCAACAGCTTGTTGCTAGCTGTCAGCCTGGCCAGGAGTGCTCCTTCCCCGCGATCCGCTAGCTAGTCGCTCCTGCTCTCCTGATATAATCCTGGGGGCCTTGCTGCGATGCTCAATTGATCTCCGCCCGTCTTACTCCACCCGGACGCCCTGTAAACACGCCATTGCCGTTGCTGCCGCTCCTCTTTCCTGTCTGGCGCGTAGCAAACACCACGTCTGAGGTACTTCTGCGGCGTCTTCATAAGCCTGCAGCTCTTGTCCGTCCTATCACATCGCCCTGACCCTTCTGCGGTTGCGCCTCTTACCTCCAAGCGGCAGCCATACGCCCCTCTACCCCGCCATCTCCTCTCTCCCATCGACACTCTCTAAGCAACTCGCGCTTCTCAGCAATTGATATTATCAAGATGGCCGCAAACCCTTCCCCCCGCGAGCGCAAGCCCTCAACCAGCGCTCCCCTCGGTGACCTCAAGGGTCCCGTTGGGCCTTCATTCACCCGTCCCAAGCACAAGAGAACGGTTACTGGCTTTGGCCCCAGTGAGATCAAGAATGTAGAAGCGAGCATCCCAGAGCCTCAGCGCGAGGCATGGAGGAAGTTTGTATGTCAATTGGATTCTCAATCATAGTACAAAGATGAATCTCAATACTAATACACGCATAGATGCCCAAGCCCTTCTCGACGCCAGACGACTTTACGAAAGACGCTGTTCGCCATATCGAGACTACCCTCGCGCGCTCCCTCTTCAACTGCGATGAGTCTGCTGCCTACGCTGGAACTGCCCTCGCCTTCAGGGATCGCTTGGTCTTGGACTGGAACAAGACGCAGCAGAGTCAGACCTTTGCTGACCAGAAGCGTGTATACTGTGAGACTAGTGGGAAATTTGCTGGTAGAACAACCTCTAATAAATTCAGATCTCTCCCTCGAGTTCTTGATGGGCCGCGCTCTGGACAATGCCATGCTCAACGTTGAGCAGAAGGATATCGCTTCCAGTAAGTCCACCTCTTAGGACCTCGCGATTGCTTCTCTAACACACATGCAGAGGGTCTCAGCGATCTCGGCTTCCGCATGGAGGACATTGTATCTCAGGAGCATGATGCTGCCTTAGGAAACGGTGGTCTCGGACGTCTTGCGGCCTGCTTCCTCGACTCGATGGCTTCTCTCAACTACCCAGCCTGGGGCTACGGCTTACGGTACCGATATGGTATCTTTAAGCAGGAGATCGTCGATGGATACCAGGTCGAGGTTCCAGACTACTGGCTGGACTTCAACCCATGGGAGTTCCAGCGCCACGACATTGTCGTTGATATCCAGTTCTACGGCAACGTCAACCGCTGGCAGGACGACGAGGGCAAGCAACAGTGCTCGTGGGAGGGCGGCGAGATTGTCCAGGCTGTTGCTTTTGACGTTCCTGGTAAGCAGTCCTTCCATCACTTCTCACCTTTTCACTGACAAGTAAAGTTCCTGGCTACAAGACTGGCACTTGCAACAATCTCCGCCTTTGGGGCAGCAAGGCAGCCAGCGGCGAGTTTGACTTCCAGAAATTCAACTCTGGCGAATACGAGAGCTCTGTAGCTGACCAGCAGCGCGCTGAGACCATCTCCGCTGTGCTCTACCCCAACGACAAGTGAGTAGTTCCATGGTTATGAGATATCATGTCTGACTAGCAACAGCCTTGACCGCGGTAAAGAGCTTCGCCTGAAGCAACAGTACTTCTGGTGCGCAGCTTCGCTCTACGACATCGTGCGACGTTTCAAGAAGAGCCAGCGCGCCTGGAAGGAATTCCCCAACCAAGTCGCGATTCAACTCAACGACACTCACCCGACCTTGGCCATTCCCGAGCTTCAGAGGATATTGGTCGATATCGAGGGCTTGGAGTGGGACGAGGCATGGAGCAGTAAGCAGAATCTACCCTCATACCCAAACCTGGATGCTAACAGCATATAGTCGTTCAGAAGACGTTTGGATACACTAACCATACCGTGCTTCCTGAGGCGCTCGAGAAGTGGTCTGTACCGCTCATGCAGCACCTCCTCCCGCGCCACCTCCAGGTATGTTCAATCGCCTGATTTCTTGAGACGTTGCTGACTTTTGAAGATCATCTACGAAATCAATCTTCACTTCCTCCAATTCGTTGAGCGCAACTTTCCCAAGGATCGCGAGATGCTGGGCCGTGTCTCCATCATCGAAGAATCGAACCCAAAGATGGTCCGCATGGCATACCTTGCTTTGATTGGCTCACACAAGGTCAACGGTGTAGCCGAGCTACATTCCGACTTGATCAAGACGACCATCTTCAAGGATTTCGTCAAGATCTACGGACAGGATAAGTTCACCAATGTCACCAACGGCATTACCCCGAGGAGATGGCTCCACCAGGCCAACCCCAAGCTCTCGGCGCTTATTGCGTCAAAGTTGGGCGGTCACGAGTTCCTGAAGGACCTCACCCTGCTGAACAAGCTAGAGGCGTTTGTTGACGACAAGGAGTTCCGCAAGGAGTTCCGCGACATCAAGTACGCCAACAAGGTGCGACTCGCACAATACATCCTGGAGAACAACGGCGTCAAGGTCAACCCGGCAGCGCTGTTCGATGTTCAAGTCAAGCGCATTCACGAGTACAAGCGTCAGCAGCTCAACATCTTCGGTGTGATCCACCGTTACCTCCAGATCAAGGCCATGTCTCCCGAAGATCGCAAGAAGCTAGCTCCTCGAGTGTCCATCTTCGGTGGTAAGGCTGCACCAGGTTACTGGATGGCCAAGACAGTCATCCACCTCGTCAACAAGGTGGGTGATGTTGTCAACAACGACAAAGACGTCGGCGACGCTCTCAAGGTTGTCTACTTGGCCGATTACAATGTCAGTAAGGCAGAGATCATCTGCCCTGCTAGCGACATTAGCGAGCACATTTCTACTGCTGGTACTGAGGCGTCGGGTACCAGTAACATGAAGTTCTGCCTGAACGGCGGTCTCATCATCGGAACCTGCGACGGAGCGAACATCGAGATTACTCGCGAGATTGGCGAACAGAACATCTTCCTCTTCGGTAACCTTGCCGAAGATGTCGAGGACCTCCGTCACAACCACATGTACTCTCAGTACCAGCTGGACCCGCAGCTTGCCAACGTTTTCGATGCGATTCACAATGGCATGTTTGGCGATGCGGACCAGTTCTCTGCTCTGATCAACGGCATCGTGGATCATGGTGACTACTACCTCGTCTCTGACGATTTCGCATCGTACATCAAGACACAGGAGCTCATCGATGAGAGCTACAAGAACACTGAGGAGTGGACAACCAAGACCATCACCACGGTCGCGCGCATGGGTTTCTTCTCAAGTGACAGATGTATCGACGAGTATGCGGAGGCTATCTGGAATGTGGAGCCGCTGCAGGTCAAGAGCGAGCCTGCGCCATAGATTGTGACTGGAGGTGGTTTCGTGCTAGATCTTAGATGGTTGCGGGACTAGAGCCTTAGATCCGATGTCTTACATTTACGATGATAATGAAATTCTCGTTGCGACAGTATCATCTGGTGGTTTCGTGAAGATGCATGTGTTCTTTGACTTGACATAGCAGTGGTGTCGAGCGAGACTGGACCCTGAAACGCCTGCTCCGAATGAACCTAGCGCACGGTCGCGTCGCGCGACGTACGTCAACCGCAATCTGGCCAGCTCTGCGCCAGCTCGCGACATATCGACAGCCCTCACTCACAAGCAATCATGGCGAACCGAGGCTACGATGTCGTCGTAGATGTTGACCAAGAGGTACGTACACCCTGGGATGCGACGCAGAAAAGCGCATACGTCGCCAGCATCCAACCCAAGACAGCAAGCTTACCAAACCCCAGGGCGACCTAGGCCATACCGACCTGCAAGAAGACCTCGAATTCCACAGCTCCAGTAAGCGCCCCGACTATTACCTCCGATACCATCCTTCCACAGTAGAACTGACCCTCCCGCGCAGACTTTGACACCCAACCCACCGGCCGCGGCGCCCCCAAAATCCAACCCGACTCCACGAGCGGCTCCTTCCTCCCCGGCCCCTCCACCTCTTCCACCTCGCCCACCTCGCGCAAACACTACCTCTGGTCCCTAAACTTCTACGCCCAAGCCTTCGACGTCGACACCGCCGAAGTCCTCCGCCGCTGCACCTCCACCCTGTACCCACGCGCCAATTTCCTCGACGTGCTCGAGGGAAACCCAGACTTATACGGCCCTGTCTGGATCGCCACAACGGTTATCGTGATCCTTTTCTTGACCGGAACGATTAACCAATACCTGGCGCAGAAGGGCGAGGAGCATTTTGCGTATGACTTCAAGTTGCTGAGTGGAGCGGCGGGGCTGGTGTATGGGTATACGGCTTTTGTGCCCGTGGGGCTGTGGGGCGTGCTCAAGTGGTATGGGAGTGAGAGTGCGAATTTGATGGAGTGTGCTTGTTTGTATGGGTATGCGAATTTGGTTTGGATTGCGGTTAGTCTGGTGGCTTGGAGTCCTTGGGGTAGTGAGTTTTTCCCTCTTTCCTTTTCCTTCCTTCTTCTTATGGAGCAGGAGACGTCGTACTAACAAACATCTCAGTCCTCAACTTCACGGTCGTAGCCCTCGGACTCGCGGCCTCGGCGTTTTTCCTCCTCCGCAACCTCTACCCTGTGCTCAGCACCACGGAAGCGAAGACGAGCAAGATTCTGCTTATTGTCGTGTTCGTGCTGCATGCTGGTTTTGCGATTGCGATCAAGGTGTTGTTCTTTGCGGCGACGAGTCCCGTGGGTCCGAATAAGGGTGATAAGGATGCGGGCAAGGGGGTTGCGGATGGGGGATCAGAGGATAAGGGCGGTATGCTGAGGATGTTGATGGGCTGAGATGCGTTGGGTAGGGGATCAGCAGGTGGAAAGTGGTTTGGGCTTGGGATGATAGCGTTTGGTAGGAGAGTTATAGTAGTGCCTGGAGGCTACATCGCCTTGACAGTGAGCAGAATTTTATTGATCACGTAACGGCGAGGTCTACGGTGCTTTTCATATGCGTAATCGCTATACTCAAAGAAGAGCGTTGAGGTACACGATACCTCATAACTTTTCCTACCTCCTCTGGAAAAATCGTCGAGGACATACCGGCTCACTCACATAACACACAAGAAGTCTGATATAGGGGAGCGAATTCATTATAGCTACGTCCCATCCACCATGTATTACTTCACCCAGAATCTTACTTTGGAGTATACAACCACTTATCCTGAAACACAATCTCCTTCAAAACAACCATGTATGCTTCAAAAACAAGATTAGGCAGCCTCCTCCTCATCAGTGAGTTGACCTGTCTGCAGTGCCCAGGCGAGTTCGTGGACGTTGGACAGTGCGTAACTGGCGTCGTGCTTGATACAGTATTTGACGCAGCGGGTGAAGATGCCGCCGTCAACGCCCTGCTCGGGGTGCTTCTTGAGACCGTTGCCGAGATAGCGGATGTCATAGTCGAGGACGCCCTCCAGTTCGTCGTGAGGGTACCGGATCAAGTCGGTGGCGATGAGGTCGTTGGCGTTCTCGATGCCCTCGCGGAACTGATCTGCCCAGTTCTTGCCGTACTTCTCTTTGCCCTTGTTGATGGCGGTAATGCACTTGACGGAACAGGTGTTGCGGAGGTAACCGCCTTCGAGGTTGCGGTGGGCATTCAGCGTCTCAACCATCTGCGCGGGGCCCCATTTGCGGGAGTAGAGGCGGAGCGCGACGGTAGGACGGCCGAGAGACTGGAAGAAGTAGACGATGAGCTCCGTATCGGTCAGAGGAACCTGGGGGACGACGACGAAGGCTGGCGCCATGTTTCCTCGCGCGACGTGGGCCTTGCGCTTAGCGATTGACGTATTGCCACTGTTGCCACGCTTGCTAGGGGTTGGGGGGCCGACGCGACCGGGGGTGAGAGGTGAGCTCGGGAGGCCGCCAGAAGTCGGTGTAGAAGGGAACATAGACATCATGCCGCCGGTAAGGTAGCCAGACTGTTCGCTATTAGTACGCGATGATGGACACATGGACATGTAGGACTTACATCTGGCTGACCAGAGGGGAGCGGGGCGATGGTAGGGATCTTGAGGCCGGGGATCTTGACCTGGAGATCCTTGCGGGCATGAGTCTTCGTGGCCTTCTTCTTCTGGTTGCTGCCGACAATCTTGGTTTCGAAGGTCTCCTGGTCCTGCAGACCGGTGTTGAGGAATTCGAAGGTCTTAGACGGTGCTGGAGCGACCTTGACGGGGGTGCTTGGAGCCGACAATGCCGCGAGACCAAGCTGGACGACAGTCTCTCGCAGCTCCGAGACCTCCGACTCGGCCTTGTTCATGCGAGCCGTAAGGCTGTTGACGACTTCACGAATGTTGCTGCTGAGGTCTACATGACCCTCAATCTCTCCCAATTCTAAGGTCATCAGTCAGCCTGGCGGATACATGAGGTGTTTTGGATAGGGGAGACTCACTGCTTGGTGGATTGTAGTCGTAGAAAGGGTTCACCATGCTGGGATCGAACTCCTGCTGCGCCATTGTCGGCTCCAAAGGGGGTTGGTTCATGTGCTCGAATGGCGGAAAGATCGACTCGCTGTAAAGTGAAGAATTAGCATTGTTTTCTTCCACATGCCGTTGCCATGACAGACCTCCAAACAATGGAGGTGTGATGGGAACATCAAGGTCAACGGTGACCAATGGTGTGAACATACCTGGGGAGCTCGCGGCCGACGCTGTATCTCTTTGGTGAGCTGCCTTGGTAGGCATCGTTGACGCTAGATGCTCTGTTCGTGAAGTCCTGGGGTGCGTAGGCGACGTTGGGCATCGGAACCTGCGGCTCGACCTCGTCCTCGAAGTACGCTGCTAGATTGGATGACATGTTAGCGCTGGGAAATGTTGCTGCAGGCAACATTGAGGTCCGGCTAGACGTCTGGCTGATCGGCATGAAAGTCTGAGGGCTTTCGTGGTGTTCAGCCATGCTGCTGAGTAGCGTGGTCTGGGATGGGATAGTCAGAAAATTGTAGCCGAGTTTGTTGTTCTCAGGCGCTCGGACACTCACCATGTGCCATAACAACAAGAGACTGCACCGAGGACCGTCGCCTGGTGAACATGGAACTTGCGTATTTCCTGATTCAGTCAGTTCACTGACATGACTTCACCAATCCACCGCGGAGACGGCATACTCACCATGAGGCTTGAGGAGATGTGAAGGGCGCGCACCCACTGCTACAGGCACCAGAGAAGATAACAAGAGACAGCACCGGTGAACTGGTGAACGTGAAACTTGCTGCACATCCTGATCCAGTCAGCTCACCGACATGGCTTCACCGTGAAGATGATATACTCACCATCAAACATGAGGAGACATGGGCGCTGCACGTCTGCTCTTGCAGCCACCAGAGGAGTTCATTCTCATCGTACTGGTGAATGCGAACCGCCCATGCATGGATGCAGTGAAGGGCATGATAGTCTTGATGCAGCAAGTTGCGTGACGAGTTATGAGATATAATGAGGATGAAGGAAGAGAAGAGATGAAGCTGCAAAGGCCAGAATATATAGAGATAGAAAGGCAGCTACGCCATGCCCTCATGATAGGCGCCCACAAGGCTCCAGCTGAAAAACGTGGCAACCAGTACTCATTGGCCTGAGAGCGTCCGCGGTCGGTATATCGAGCGGTGAGACGGATAAGCAATCCCAATGATAGTGAGAGAAATTACGAAAGAGGAGAGAAGACATCCTAGACAGCACTACCTATGCGCACAACGACCTGCACGGCAGGATCATGGACACCACCGACTAGAAAGTGCGTCGCCACCCATCTACTGCGAGACATCTCTTTTTGTGATCTGCCAGCATATATGCATGTCTCTACCTGTGGTAGGATGATTGCCAAATCCGACGAGTCTCGTGCGGCAGGCATCGGACTGCCCAGGTGGGCTCCGGCCCATGATCAACGGGCACGTTGTACGAGACCAGCGAGCATGCAGTCGCGAACGTTCTAGGTTTGATGGCGAGGGCGTGGAGATACCACGAGCGCGCGTAAAGCCGCCGGTGATGGTCGCTGTCGGGCGGGAGTGATGATGCGAAGAGGTTTGACGTTGGAAGTTCGCGTCGCGACATTCGGGGCACTAGTCCAAATCTGGCTGGTGATCCCTTCCCAAACAACTCTCCGACCTTGACGTCTCTAGAATACACTCGAGAATTGCGACGCTTGGTACAATGACTGCACTGATAGAATTGCCTACTCTGTTAGTCAGTGTATCCTCCGTTCAATCCGTCCCTGGCAGCGCGGAAGGCGTTAGGTCCCCAGAGCGTACTGCACCTTGGATGTGGTGTGATTGGGCGCTGCAGTCTGGTATTACACATGTCAGAAAAGGGTTGAGTACTGATAGTGCTGATCTCTCGCACGCTCATGTTACCTATAAACATTGTTTGTTCACCTTTGGTTCCTCCTACAACATCTGCACATACCATTAGCACCATGCGATTGACCCTGCACACGAGGACTATGACTGCGCCTCCAGACCGCGTTCAACTCTTCATAGGAAATTTTCTCATGGCAAGAGCTGAGTGGGGCTGAGTTGTGGGATACTTGCCTAGTGAAAGACGGACATGTGGGTAACGCTCGAGCCGTGTGGTTACTTGAACCGGAGGTCAGAGTTCTCGAGCGCTTTACTTACTACACATACGGGCTAAACCGAACCCCAAGTATGCAGGCTCTGGCGATCGTCTGTCTCCTGGCGCTGATAACTCTCGTGCAGAGCCTGACTGTGGTTCCTCCGCTTCTCCAAGGACCCGATATTCCTTCCCGCTCCTCCCACAGCCTCGTCGCTCGCGTTGACGATATCGAAGTCATATACCACAGAGCCACATGCAAAGGCCAAAAGTTGCTGTCAGCAACAACCTCCCCGCACGACGCAGCAGCCGCCTTTGTCAACCCGATCGATAGCCCCTGGACCAACCCCATCCAACAGGAGCTTGAAACTTGGGGCTACAAAATCGAGAGTGACGATGGCACCCCCCAATTCCGCGCAAGTCATGAGGATGAGTGCGAGTTCGAGCACAGCCACAAGCTCAAGAGCATGTTCGATGACCTCAGAATCGATACGCGAAGTACCTACCAGGGCGGACCTAATCGGTGTTACTTTGTTAACCATAAGGACGGTCCAGCAGTACGGCGCGACAATCAGGGAGATCTACCACCGGTCAAGCAGCAGTGGTATAAAGCCAACGACCAATACTATCGTGTAGGTAAAATAAGATAACGGTCCATGCACGTCTTACTGACGACATCTTCTCTTCGCAGGTCACCAACGCCGAGTTCGTAATCGGCGTAAACCCAGCATCAGGTCTGATTGCAATGACCAATCGTCAGAGCCCCGCCACGAGCGCGCAAGCCCTCTGGGGCCTCTCCAACCCTCCGCCGAACGATGAGCTTCCCGCACTGAAATCGAGCTCTGATATCATGTGGGGACTGTGGAATCTGGCGAGTCCGAACAACCTGCACGGCATCAAGTACATCCTTAGTACGCCTGTTATAAACCACGAGACGGTCGCCATAATCAAGAAGATCTTGGAAGACAACTGCCTCGATTTGGATGAGCTGATGACCTGGTCGGGCTGCGAGTTTGGGTCAGAGGAGCCGGAATATCTCGCTTTGCTCGGTAAGTCGTATCTCGGTTCGGCGTTCTGGGAATTGGATTACTGACTTCGACTGTCAATGTAGGATCACCGAATGGACAAGCCGTTGGGTACTTCTTGGCGCAGCACAAAGCCCAGCTCGGCGGAAAATATGTGTCGAAAATCAACATCTTCAAAGGAGATGATGCACACATGGTTGCCGTCTGCCTCCTTTTCACGATCGACGATAGGGCTGGAGCTGCGAGGGCCGCTATCCGGGATGGATCGAACGGCAAGGGTCGCGTTGACGAAGCGGTAGTCGTGAGGCGATTCGACTATGAGAAGAATGTTGTGAGACGGCATATCGTGTGGGCGAAGTTGTAGATGGCTAGAGACGCGTCAAGATGGCGTGTTCCGATGTACAGCTACGGCTTAGATCGTAAGATCTGGCTTCAAGGGCTCATATAGACCTAGACAGGGGTGTAGACTCGTTGATTAAACGGATTTCTATATTTAATAGAGGGGTTTACAAACATCGTTACAAATAGGTGACTTCCCAGACGGATGTCAGTGATGGTTGGTGGACAGGGAGCGTGGACGCGGATCGCAACCTCGGCAAACGCGCCGCTTATCGATAAGCCACCATTGCGAAGCTTCAGGGTCGCCATCGTCATCTCTCTTTCAACCCACAATTATCACAATGTCTGCAAACGTCCTCATCGTTGGTGCCGGCGCCATTGGAGCCTTCTATGCCTCTCGTCTTGCCCTCGTCCCTGGTACATCAGTCTCGGTCATCTGCCGCTCCAACTACAAAGCCGTGAAAGCGAACGGCTTCCAAGTTACCTCACCGCAATACGGCGATTACACCTTCGTACCGGCCAACACCTTTGCGAACCCGGACGAGGCAAGAGCGAGCGACATACAGTGGGACTTCATCGTAGTCAGCACGAAAGCGCTACCCGACGTGAGCGATGACTCGACGATACTTGAGGGGCTAGTCAGCGATAAGACGGCCATTGTGCTGATACAGAATGGATTGGGTGTAGAAGAACCGTATACGAAGCGTTTCCCACAGGCTGCGATATGTTCGGCGGTCACGATAGCAACCTGTGCGCAACCCGAGCACGGCCAGATTAAGCACAACAGATGGACGCGGATCAACAGCGGACCGTACCTGCCCCATCTAGACACCGGAAGCAGAAAGGATAGCGACGTACGCGTCATCTTGATGAATGACGCGTTCATCGAGATGCTGAGACAAGGAGGCATCAAAGACGCCGAAGCCTACAGCCATGCCAAACTCCAACTCGTCCGCTGGCACAAGATCGCCATCAACGCCTCCATGAACCCTACCTCGGTCCTCACCCTTTGCCTCCCGAACAACGTCATGTCTCTCGACCCAGAACTACAGCGCCATCTCAAAGGCGTCATGACCGAGATCCTCGAAACCGCACCCAAGATCCTCGGCGAGCCCATGCCCAAGGAGTTTGCGACTCCCGATCAGATCATTCGCTCTACACAAAAGAACACAAGCGGTAGCAAGCCGAGCATGGCCATAGACTGGGAAGCGGGCAAGAAGATGGAGATTGAGGTCATTCTTGGCAATCCATTGAGGATTGCGAGGGACAGGGGCTATGAGATGCCGCGCCTGCAGAGTTTGTATGCGATGGTCAGGATGGCGCAAGAGGTCAGAGACCAGAAGAAGGACAACAAGTTGTGAGATGCCGGATTGCTCCTGTCGATTGATCGATCTCTCAATTGCTTCCTTTATGTGTGTTTTACCTCTGGGTAAAGCGAGCTTCATTCCAAACTGCAAACTTCAAGTCAACAGAGTCGCGTAGGCAGCGTCGCCGCCGACCATCCTATCTGGCCGTTTTGCTATATACTCCCTGATCCCTTCATGACACTTACACGTTTGCAAGAAAGATGACACACCACGGAAGCACTCTCGAGACCTTGCTCGCGACCCAGGTACCTAGCTCCTCGCCCTTGTTTTTACGAACATCTAGTCACTTGAAAACTTCAGATTTCGTAAACATAATAGCTGCCATTGTCTCAGAAGTAGGATTCAATTTTCCAGTCGACCAGTCTTGACTACTCTTTATTATTGAGCGAGTTTATTGCATTTGAAGAAGCAGATAGTGGTGCGGGAGGAGGGCAGCTCAACCTTGGAACGTTGCGACCCTATTGAGCGACGCGGACCGTGGCTATCACAATAGCAAAATACATAAGGTGAAGGCGCCTCTCACCAACCTCTTTTCTTGCGAGCTGAAGACAATAGCTTAGGTCAGCTGCCTGTCGCCCCGGTCTCTCCTTCGTATTTTCCACGGCTTTTCTTTCTCAATCACCGATTACAACTTCCCCCATATCATCAACTTCCTCGTTACTACTGCAGACAAGATGAGCAGGCTCTCTGATCAGCAGTTGCGAGCACAGTGGCTCAGCAAGGCGACCCCTGATCAGCGACAACAGTGGTTCAACAAGGCGCCACCAGACCAACAGCAATGGTTTCGCCAAATACAGCGTGCTAGACAGCAACAAGGACAGCAGCAGCAAGTACCGCGCCAGAACAGTCAACACCAAGGTCAGAATGCGGCCCGGAGCCCTTCTACCAACAGCCTGAACGGAGCAAGGTCGTCTACCTCAAGCCCACTGGCTGCACCCTCAACGATGTCCACCTCGGTGACTACCGCTTCGCCTCTGAGCACGACAGCAGTGCCAGCATCGACAAATGCATCCTCACCTGTGCGAAACGAAAATACAGCGACGCTGAGCGCCGCCTCACGTATTCCTATTGTACCACGCTCGATGCAAGCACCGAACGCTAGCGAATTTCGACATCATCAACAGAACAACGCTTTTCTCGCTTCTAGGCAGACTCAGCCGCGCATGCTACCCACGGACGACGTCGCTCGCTACCAGAAATCACCACCCAGGCAGAGCCCTTCGCATGTACAAATGAAGCTGCCACCCTCACCGACACGGCCAGGCTCATCGCCATCCGCGCATGCTACAGGATATCCCATGAGCCAGAAACGTCAGGCTACAGAAGCCCCGGAAGGCGACATGCCTGCAGGCAAGAGGCAAAACACCATGCAAAATACGATGTCACCTCCCGCCGCACCGTTCGCTCCCATCGGCCAACACGATCCTCTCAACCCAGGGCCATACAATCGTATGAGACCAGTTGCACCAGCCAATGGGATTGCGGCATCTGTCAACCGGATGACCCCCGACGACATCGCCCGAGACCGTCACCTCCAGCAGGCCAAGCTCGCAGAGCAGCGCGTTCGGGCGCAACAAGCTCACGACGCCGAGAAAGCCCGCGAGCGAGAGATCTATATTGCCGCCACCGCCGCAGCTCTCAAGCGCGAGCAAGATAACGCGCGAAGGGAGTTTCTGCGCAAAGATCCCAGCGCGAACTACCGCCACATCCTAGAGGTATATGCATTGTCGCCGCTAGACCCCAAGAAAGATGAGTACCTAAACCGGTACCTAACCGGCTTGCTCGCAAACCGCGTTATGCCCATGGACCTCGACTGCGACCTCGCGCTCGCGATCGTGTACGCGAAGGATCACTGGGACTACTTTGGACAGTGGCCCAAGGATACCGAGCGCTTTGCTGGCTATGAAAGGGAGAGGAAAGAGAAAGCGGCCAAGGACCGGGCTTAGGAGACCGAGAGGGCGCCGCGTGAGTGCTCTGGACCTGATCGTGCGAGATCAGAGGCATTGGAGGCCTTGGAAAAACGCTTGCGTCCGATGCTTTTGAAGTTTTTGAAGTATACGGTGTAGCGTGAAGTGATGGAAGTAGCTTGGAGAGGGACATGTAGCCGTCAGGGTGCACTCAACTTTAGGATGAATCAGTTCACGAATATCAAGCCCAAGTCCATAATACGAGCTCCCCGTGACTGCGCTTTGCAAAGAACAGAGTGAATACTCGAGATAATTGGGTCTAGTCTCTCCAGATCACGGGGTCTGACGTTATTCTCCCATATCACCCCGGGGCCACTTCTCATTCCAATAGTCCACACACCCACCGTCTGCACTTCCAATCGAGAAACGTCTTGTTCACGTACCCGCAGACTCCTATATTACCATCCTCACGACGACATCCCAACGACAGCAGCGATGGCCGACCAGCTCACCCAGATACCCGCCTTGGTTACACCTACACTTCAGCGTCACAACAAGAGACGCCGCTCGACATCGATTGCGCCAGAGCAAGCTGTTTTTCTTCCTGGCGCCGGCTCGTCAAATGATGAGAACGATCCGACAACCACTCCACACGAACAGCGCCACCCCGACGACACCACTATACATAGGCGCACGAGGAAAGCCCATGGGGTCAAGCGCCGACGTATCGCTGGCGACTTCAACCCCGTCCACGGCCCTGGTTTCTCTCGTTCATCCGACCTGAAAGAGGTGCGATCACAGATTGCGCCGACTGCAAACCCATCAAGCATTGATCCCGTCTCAGGCGGCGATCATCCCAACAAAGACATCACCGCCCTCCCTGTCGAATATATACCATCTCAACCCAACCCCGTTACCAAGACTCTGAAGCAGACTCCTCAAACACCAGGTGGAGACCGCAAGAAGAAGTTCAAAGTCTGGGAAGACGAGCCGCAGCCGTCTAAACCCGAAGACCCAACACCCGCTGCCGCAAAGTTGCTGCAAGATATCACCAACACCGGAGCTCCACGCATGTGTCGCCGCGTAGAGGGGTATACGCCGCGGTTCCGCGCGCAAGAGGCTGATTACTATTATCATCCCAACCTCAAGGACTTCCACTTTCCACAGGGCGTCGCCGCATCCACTGAGGAGGCTGTCGAAGAAGCGGCTCGGAGTGAGCGAGACGCGCCTACCGCAGAAGCAGAACAAGAGACCCAAGACGCACAACTAGAGATTGCACAGTCATTGAAGCGGAAAGCCGATGACGACCTTCGAGAGCGTGGTGCAGAGAAGCTGAGGAAGCTTAATGGCCAACAACCTTTGCCTTGGATAGTCCATGGCAAGATCCGACATGATCCAGCTCAAGACTTTGAGACTGAGTACTTCACCATATCCACCCCGTCGCTACCCTCAGAGCCCGTGGAGGATGTGTTCAACACGGTAGAATCGGGGCAATCCCAGAAAGAGATTGATGCAGCGCTTGAGACGATTAAAGCGCAACAGTTGCCAACACCCATCTCCGAGCCCGTATCCAACGAGGTGTTGTCGCCTCTTATATATTACAACCTGAACCCATCCAGCATAGTCCATGTACCGGGGGACGATGAGCTAGCCCTGGACAAATCAGAGTCAGGATCTCTAGATTTGGATGCTATCTTGATGGGAATGACACCAAATGACACATGCCCCATCGTCGAGGAAGATGCTTTTGAAGGATTCGGTACCTACAAACCACCGACATCGCAAGACGATGACATCCCCGCCGGCAACAAAGCTGCATTCGCTGGCTTTGGTAACTACCAACCACCGCCACAAACCGTTGCTGCTGCATCTCCCGCGGTCGGGAACGACGCATTTAAAGGGTTCGGTACCTACATCTCACCGCCAACAGAAAACAAAGAACTCCCCGTCGTCAACAAAGATGCATTCGAGGGATTTGGTATTAACCAACCACCGCCACCGATCGTTACTGTTGCATCTCAGCCCGCTCCAAAGATCGTGACCACAGTTCCATCTTTGATAGATAGGAACAACCAGCCCATCATCAAAATGGGTGTAGCCTACAGCGAAGGCTATGACCCAAGAAACCCGCAGAACTTCAAGCACTACCTCGCCCAGTTCACCGATCGACCTGCGGTTTCGCGACCACGAGAGCGCGAGTATCGCCCAATGCCAGAGATGTTGGAGATCGAGACTCTGAACCAGCGATTAGACTGGGTAGTCCCGAATGGAGCAGAAGCTCCCCACCTTTTCCGCGACATGACAGCACCACCACCTCACATCGACTCAGAGTTAGCTCGTTGTGTTCGCTTCGCCCATTCCGACGCGCAAAGACGCGTTAACTGGCGAGCGCATCCCACCCATGTTGCCGAAATTATCCAGCGCACCAACTTCTACGGAATGGAATTGCTGGTCAGTCGGAACGAAATGCACATCTCGTCACCCCCGACGGCAGACGAGTTTGAGCTAGCCATGGCAACTCGGCTGGCACATATATCCTTCGGCATGGACACGAAGGACTATATTGCGGCTGATGTGCCAGCTATCATGGATTACTTCATGGAGAATCCTCCGTCGGCGATAAGCGTCTTCCCAACAGAAGAGGAAGACTGCTTTCGCGCCTTCACGGATTATTATCGCGTTACGTTCGAAGAGAATTATCCACCATTGAATGCTCTCGGCTTGCCAGAATGGCAGACCTTGCTGGATGCTGAGGAGGGCAAGCCCTCTCTCAAAGCACAAACCTTACAAGGCATCGTCCAGTCCATCAAAGGGCTGGCTCCACACTGCCCTGGCGATGCAGAAGGGACAGATATCCTCAAAGATCAGGTCTCTCACGAGAAGCCTGACTTGAGATATGCGCATCTCGATAACGCTCGTCTGGAACTTAGCCAGGCCCTAGGCGTGGGTAGGGACGGCTTCAACGGAGACCCACAGTGGCCCGATCAGCTGACCAGCGCCGTCTTACCCAGCGTGGCTCAGAACGAGGAATTACAGCATTACGATGCAAATCCAGCTTCTTACTGGAACAACACAGAAGCTCCAGGGGATAATCCCCATCCTATTGTACCCGAAGCAGATGCAAGGGTTGAAGATGTGCACGGCGATTACTACGGCCCAGAGGGCTGGTTTCGCGCCGATGCGAACACGCTGATGCCATGGGATTCTGGCCTAGATGTCATACCACCAGGTTTCAGCGCAGCTCCATTGGACTATGGTGCTATAGGGGAATACTTCAATCCGTCGGCATTCGGCGCGTTCAACGATGCTGAGCCGGAAACACTGTTGTAAGGATATTGGGCCTGGATAGGTCCAATCGAGGATTAACAGATGTATTAATGGTCTTTGTGCCGTATTTGCTTGGTGTGTTAGTGGTTGTGACTCTTGTTCAATGATGGCTTCTCGCCTTCAAACACGGACATTGTGAGTGGCTCGCGGTCGCTAGCGCCGAAGGAGGATTGAAGCAGGTACCAAGGGTAGATATATTCGGGTTATATCCTTCAAGCATACTATTGGATGTCTTTGTTAGCTAGAAGAATACATCGTCCTAAAATGTTACCACTTATTAAGCTTTAGTGATGTGTGTGCAGCAGCTTGTGACGTAAATTATAGCTACCTGGACTGCAAGTGCCAGCGCAAGCATAATCGGAACAGGGGCGATGAAAGCGCCTGCAGGAGAAGTGGTGGCTGAGGAAAGCTCGAAGGCCGCTTCCATCAGATCCTGTGCATTGCGACGGACGGTATTGGTCCTTCCTGTTGGTGTAGTGTCGGCCATGGTGCCACAACACGCGTACCATGGATGGAGATCAGCCTCAGCGACTTCCACAGACTCATCGAACGAAGACAAACCAGAGTTCCAGCGGAAGCTAATACTAGCACAACGAAAAATCATTCATCTTCATGTCGATTATCGAACAGTACGACATTCTCCTTCCTTACCACCTACCTTCCTTCCAAGCGCGCATTGAAGCCACCTTACCATGACTCCACCACGTACAGCGACAGCACCACATATCGAAACCGGTACCAAACCGGCCCCGGCAAAGAACCCACGTGGTCGACCACGTAAAGACGGGTTGCCGGCAGGATCAGTACCCAAAAAGCCCAAAACGTCAAAGCGAGCGCGTGCAGATACTCCGACGGAAATCCAAGGACAGCCTGAGAAACGAGGCCCCGGTCGTCCATCCAAGAACAACAAATCGCAGGGCGCCAAAATTCCATCAGCAACGCCATCATCGTCTAATCCCTTTCCACCAATGAACCCCATTCCAAGCCGTGGCCCACAGGAGGGAAGTCTCATCCTCTCTGCGACTGAAGAGACCTCCAATATACAGATCACGGTTACTGCCCCGAGTGACGTGACTGTGCGCTGCAGTGAGGAAACGGACATGAGTGAACAAAGGATTCAAGACACTCGGAGCTTTTGGCAGGAGGCCGAAAGAAACGAGGAAATAGGTGCGGCGGCCAGTCAATGCGAAAAGCAGAGGGAAGATGACGCATTGGAATTCGAATTTGGCCTGTGGCAGGACTTGGAGCCAAGTCGCAAGCGCGTAGCATTCGCGGACGAAGAGGACGAAGAAGCAGAACGAGAAATCGGAACAGAAGAGTCGAAAAGAAAAGCGGAACGTCGACGTCAGAAGAGAGAATGTCGAGATTACGGCTGCTATGAAGAGGATTGCAGAATCGGCCATGCAGTCAGAGCGAATGTCGCACGTTACATGGTGAATCTTGACGAGCGCACGGAGGCGTTGCGGTCTCTGGTGGTAAAGACGGATGATGAGGTGATGGAAGAAGGAACAGGGCCCATGATCTTCGAATATCCCTGGTTGATTGCACGATGATAGCTAGCATAGCCGACGGATGGAGGGGTTGTAGTTAGCGGAAACGGAGGAGGAGCTGTGTTCTCATTTGGTGTCGTCGATTCATCAGGTTCGAAGACCTGAAGAGGTAGGTATGCAGATAACATCAGCTCGACTCCCTTGCGCGTGCTGATATGAGAATGGATCCAGCAGAAATCTATACAGTACGATTAGACTGCTTCCATCTCGTAGTCAGCATCGTACTTTGGCCCATTATCAGAAGGTGGCGCGATGTTGAAGGTGTATGTGAGAGCTCCTATCTTGTGGGCATCGCTGGGCTGTACACGCAGAGTGTCGACGTCGTAAGGAGATGAAATGCGTATGACCAAAAAGACGCAGCAGTTGGAAAAAGATGTGAGCATATTGATGTGCTGCGCGTAATGTGTCGCGATGCGCGTTGATGAAGACGATTTCGACCTCGGAGGTGCACACCTGGGCAGAATTTGCTACCGCTTACGCTAAGCCATATACGGAGAGGTCATAATTAGAATATGAACTTTCACAAAGTGCACAGTCTCTGTTATTCCTCTTGTAAGACTCTTGTCACGGAAAGATCACTTAAGAATTGAAACTCCATATGCCTCGACTCGACTGTTGGGGAAGATGAGATGTGTCTCACGTGATGAGGACCTACCACGGCAGCCCCACATCGGCGAATTGTGCCGTCCAATCTCCGACGGCAAGCTCCAACGCGTCAACGCGTCTCTTTCACACACGACACTCAAGCGCGATGCGTTCGAGCAGATCAAGGACGCGTCTTCAGAATTGTCTATGTACTTCGCAAAGCTACGATCGACTCGTTTCGACTGTGTCCCAATGTCCTCTACAGGGTGTCTAGCACCAATACTCCTAGCATCATTCCCATCGTACCTACTACAGCCGGTTCCCTCGGAGTCTCAATGTAAGGTCTTCAGATGCACTAAGAAGACTACGACCATTACAAGCTTGTACCAAGGCCTCTGCTCAGGCCATGGTAGCGTTCATAGAAGAAAGAAGAGTTGAATGAGCACAAACGTATGCCAGGTGATAGGCCAAACCGTGCAGGTGAATAGCTAAGCAGGTGAATAGCCAGGCAGGTAAATAGCTAACAAGCGTAAGTAATTCTGTCCTAGCAGCTAAGACTGCCTCTGCTTCTTATTAATAGCAGTGCATAGCTAAAAAGCAGCCTTTTACACCCCCTCTAGCAGTAGTAATAAGCTATAATAAAGTATAAGAGGGCTATAGAAAGGAATTAGAGGTGCAGGCTGTTGCTTCGCGAAAATTACACCCTGTGCAGGGCCGCTTTGCGGGAGTTAGAGACTCTGTATTGTATTGTTAGATAGTGTATTGGATTCCACTGTGTACCGCGCAAGTCTCTTACGTCTGCTGCTAATATTTTGAAACAGAGGTTGTCGTGCGGCAGCGCTTAACCTGTCTATGGTGCTTGTCACAATGCGTATGGAAACATGTACCGCAAGCACGAGAAAGCAAGCGGACTGCGCATGAGTGCATCGAGTGCGCGAGCTCTCTCCACCTCCTACGTACGCGATATCGTCTTCGAGCCCCTGCAACTACAAGGTCCCAGCGGCAAGACCTCGCGCCTCGTGGTCGAGGACTTTGAATGCGTCGATATACCTTCCGTCCTGTCTAGTCCTCGGTCGCGTACCGAGTCGCTCTGTCCAACCTAGTGCGTCCGCGACCAGCCCCCGCCAGGTATGGATGTATCAGCGATGCTTAACATCGAGGACGAGAGACCGAAGAGACGTTCGGGTACTCGATCTGTCCTTGTCACCTGCCAATCGATACCGATGTCGCCATCGCTCTCAGAGCAAAGAACCAGTCTCTTTGACGTCACATGATGGAGTTTTCGGCAATAGTGACCCCCAATATCGCCCTGAACGAATGTTTCCAGAGTAACGCAGGCAACATTGAGTCACCTGCCTTCCAAAGTTGGCTAAATGAGCCGTTCTCGCCCTTCATGTGGACGCTTCTGGATTGGGGAACGCGGGGATTGTTTCAAACTCACCCCAAAGATCCTTCATCCTAGGGTTCGGATTGGTCCAGCTTCGTCAATGCGGCCTTTCGTCCTCACATTTTACAGACCCTCATGTCCGAAGCGCTAGCACATTATTCAAGCGATAAGTAAATTGCATCTTGCTCTAGCTTTGAGCCAAAGCGCCTCTCCATGCATCTGCTAAAGCCGTAAACAAAGGTTTCTTCTTCCGCGGCTGCCAAAGCTTTGCAACAATACTCGTCGACGAGGCTCGCATCTATCAACACCTTCTATATACTTGTATACCTGACTTCGTCGAAATTACACGTCTTACTCTATATCAACCGAGTTGCAGACTCTCGGCCAGTAAGTTCCATACTCAGCAGTGCAAGCAATACAAGCACCGCTCAAACGTCCATCCGATTGCTACAAGTTTCCTCTATCAAACACTAATCCTTGTATCAAAGGCATCATGGCGAGCAATCCGAAGACTTCTCCAGCCAACTCATCTCCGGTCAAAGGGGCTAGGGTTGAGAAACCAGCCGCCATGAGCAAAGCACGTTCGAAGAACAAGGACGGCTCGATTCACGCCTCCCCAACTGACATCTTCGGTCCAAACGCTGTTACCCGGTATCTCCGCATCCCGCAAACCGGCAACATCACCGGTGCGGAACTGATGACGTTTCTTCCCGCGCTGATTCGTAGTCCCGGCGTTCTTGTTCGATTCGTCCAGAACGGTGGCGATGCCTACCCCATCGTTAGGATCCACAAATGGTTTCGAGTCGTGGTGAAGAACAATTCTCGGCAAGACGCCACCAATGCCGTGATTCACTTGGCCCAGGGGACGATGCGACACTATCTTCAGGACGATCAATGGACTATGACTCGCCACAAGGCCGGTCTTTACCCAAAAGTCGGCCAGGCTTGGGACCACGATAACTTGACTCTTGCCGGCGTCCAAAACCACTGCGAGATCCAAGTCCCGGGTAGCCGTCACCATAAACCGGTCGTCGCTAATGTTCATTTCGCGTCACTGGCAGCTGACGTTATGGTATACCCATCCGGCGACGACGAGCTCGATCTGACCCGCTGTGTCAAGGCTGCTGTCGCCAATATCGACCTACCGCTGATGTTTCCACGAGACTTTAACTGGCTCACTCAGCTCTTGGGTGGTCCCCGGACGGTACTCCCTGCTCATCGAGATGGCGAGCTGTTTGGTCGTTGGAGGAATGTGGCGTGGGAGACGATGCCCGTGCCGGAGGCGATCCAGGCTGCGACAAACCTCACGCATCATATGTTCACAGCAGCACAGCGGACGACAGCCGTGCAGTATCTTCAGCAGTTCCCCGTTGTTCAGGCATTTACGTTTGTCCAACAGCCTCCTTCTGTTCAGTTGCCTGTCCCTGCGCCTCGCGGCCCTACGAGGATGACAAACCACGCTGGCCCTTCTCGCGCACAAG